AGAGAGAGAGAGAGAGAGAGAGAGAGAGAGAGAGAGAGAGAGAGAGAAACTTCTCTAGCGTAAACTAAATATAAAACCATGAATCCTTCAGAGCCATCATCTCCTAGAGACGAAATAAACTGAATATGATCACACATCTCGGTATAAAGCTATAAAATAAAACTACAAACTGCAGCCTCCAAAACGACCATAAAGTTAAAACAACAACTCTAAAATCTGGAATTTGACTACAAACAGTTTTAACATGATCTACAACCGGCAACTACATGCAGAGGAACCTTAAATATACCGAGTGTGAACTGTAGTACAGGTACAATTTGGGAATATGATTTAGGACATTAGTCTTAAATGTGATGCGCTCTGACAGTGTCTGCACATTTGCTATAAGTCCTCTACTGCTAGGAATAAGATGTTGTGTGGTAGTATGTTTTTATATCTGTCAGTGTGTCTGTCCTGTGTGTCTTAAGTCTCTCCTTGTCTGTGTCGCTGCGCAGAAGGACAAAGCGGAGCCCTTCGATGTGGAGGAGGTGGTGCAGGAGATGCCCAGGGACCAGAGGTTGACTCTCTGGGGAAAACTGGGTTCCCTCCTTCAGGACGTCCTGCAGGAGTTACCTCCAGAGCGCTGGGCGGACGGCAGGGAAGAGGGCATGGAGGTGGAGTCGGCTGTGGACCCTGTGAGTTCATGTACAAGTTGTGACATTAACTTTGATGTCATTACAATTGTATATTCTGACGGGATATCCGCTGTTATTTGTTCCTTCAGACGCATGTCATGGCCGTCGTGGATGGCGTGACACTAGTGGCTGACGTGTCCATAAAGGTCCTACAAGGCGGCGACGCCTACAGCGCCCTTCTGGAAATCATCCGCAGGCTTCACGGTCGGTGTCCTCGCTGATTTTTCTCTCTCTGCTAAATTGTTGTATCTTCAAGGTGGATCAATTTGTGTCTTTCCCCCCTCAGAGGTTCTGGTGTCGCTGCCGGTCTCCGAGGCTCCTCTGCAGCTCCACGTCCACACGCTGTGCGAGGCCTGGTGGAAGAAAGGCCTGAAGGAGAAGGAACAGTTTGGCCGCACGGCGTTCCTGATCTCTCTGCAGAAGAGCTTCACTTTGAAGAAACCCGTCAGTATATATCCTCAGTTATACATCAAATCAATCCTCATTGGGCCTTTAGGTTATCGCTCTCTATTCTTCTGAGTAGCTTTGATGCGTTCTCTCTGTGTCCAGGGTGTTGAGATCCAGAGAGTCTGGAGTCTCCACGATGTGCTTTTGAGTTTGGACTACACGTCGGAAGAAAACAAGCAGATCATCGACTTGTTGCTGCAGTGCTTTCATCGTCCCACTTACATCAGAAACGATGACGTGAGTAGAGTGATGTTAAGCCGCTGTGTGTGTGTGTGTGTGAGTCTCTGTTTTGTATCTTGTCGTGGTGTGTTTTGATGATGTGTGTGTTGTCACAGGGAAAGCGGTTCCTGGTGTTTCTGTTCAGCTGGAACGTCGACTTCATCTGGGTTATTCACGGCACCATTAAAAACCAGCTGGAGTTCTATAGCAAGTAAGACGCTTGCTTTGTTCTGTTTGATTGTAGTCCATGTTATCTCCATGTTCGTTCACCCATACATCCTCCTGTGCAGGACCATGACTACTCACATCATGGAGATCTACTTCAGAGCATGGAAGAAGGCCAGCGGGGACTTCCTGGAGACGATTGAGAGCTCGTGCGTTCAGGATTTTATGCAGAACGCGATCTTCCTTCGTAGAACGTCTCCCGTCTACGCCAAAGTCCGCCAGGTGGACCCATTAGCTGCTTCGTTTATTGTTTTAAGCTCATGTTGTGCACATTATACTCACTTTGTGTGGTCTCCTTGCTCTCATACGCAGATTGTGAGCTATTTCCACTCAAGGAAAGGCTGCAACAAGGTGGACAAGATGCTCTGTAACCTCTACAAGCCCATTCTCTGGAAAGCTTTAAGTGTACGGATACAGATTTCTAACTGCATACTAGTTTTTTTTAGTATTCTAGTCTAATGTGTTTCCGTTTGATTTTCTTCAGGTTCCAAACTTTGAGGTGCGTGCAAATGCCACTCTGCTTTTCACTGAGGCCTTCCCAGTCCACGACCCGGAGCAGAACAACAAGAATATAGACGAGGCCATTCAGAAGCAGCTGGACATAGCAATGGTGAGAACACATCCGAATACACAGACACACGGACACTGAGCTTTAAAGTGGCGCCGTTACAACCGCCCGCGTCTCATCCTCAGGGCCTCCTTGATGACCCTCATCCCACCGTGCGCTCCAACGCTACTCTGGGAGTCTGTAAGATCCTGGCCAAGTGCTGGGAGCTCCTCCCTCCCACAATCATCGCAGACTTCCTGAAGAAGCTGGTGATGGAGCTGGCGGCTGACAGCAGCTCCCCGGATGTCCGGTGCTCAGTCTTTAAGGTCAGTGTCTAGTCCTGGAAGATATCAACATGGGGAGTTAAAGCTAAATTCTTGTCCCGATTTTGTGATGCCAAACTGTCAGCGTTATTTAACTGCACACATTAGGACAACTGGTTTTACTGGCAGTACTCTGGGTATTTAATGACTTGTGCTTTGTGTGTAATGTTCTCCCCAGTGTCTGACTATTGTCTTGGACAACAGTCTCAGCCATCCAATATTGGAAAAGCTCCTGCCGACTCTCAAGTATAGCCTTCATGACAACTCTGAGAAAGTCCGCATAGCTTTCCTGGACATGCTCATCAAGGTCAAGGCGGTGCGTGCTGCCAAGGTACTGTAAAAGTGCACTCAGTATTCCCCACACGAACAACGAAGGGAAACGTATTACTTGAGATGGGGGAAGACATTTATCTGGAACAGAAATGACCTGTCTCTAAAATACACATAGTAGCTAGACGGGTGCAAACAATGAAGTCTACGTGTACGAAGAGGTTTTCTTGTGTACCGCTCTCCAGTTTTGGGACGTGTGCAACATGGACCACCTGCTGGCCCGTCTGGCTATCGATTCCCATTCGGTTTCCAAGCGCATCGTCGATCTGCTCTTCAAGTCCTTCTTCCCCGTCAACGAGTCGGAGAGGGAGTGGTGCTGCCGCTGCATCACCCTCATCCAGATGAACCCCATGGCTGCCAGGAAGTTCTACCAGCACGCCCACAAACACACGGCCCCCACCAACATAAGTCAGTGCTGTGTTTCTGGAAGCCTTATTTAAAAAAAAAAAGAAATGAACTGTTGCATTTCGCAGTTCGTTCATTGTTTTGTCTTCTCTTCCAGTAAAGCTGATGTTGGCCATTCGCCGCGTCGTGAACAGCTGTATCCAGACTGACTGTGACCTGTCCGAAGTTAACGACAGCAACAAGGAGAGCAGCGCAGTAAGACAGAGACATCAATCAATGAAGATAGTTACTTTATCTCCACAAATTCAACCTTATTACTAATAGTTTCATCTCTACTTTCATGTGTTTTAACATGGAAAGATGTGGTATGAACCGTGGAACGGGCAAATCCATACAAAAGGTTGATATTAACGGTATTTAGTCGCGATGAAATACATAATTCAAGGTAACTGTAGCTACATAGTTTGTCTGCTTGAATCCTCTTTGTTTCTGTTTGATCATATTTGATCCAGATGAGATGGAAACGTATGCTGTGTGTCTGAGTTCATGATTGTGATCCCAGCAGGCGGAACCTCTGCTGGGGAAAGACATGGCTGCCGTGTCCAGTCTGCTGGAGGTCGTGGTCATCCTGTGGAGGAGTGTCGAGAAGGCCCTGAAACAAAACAAAGAGGCCCAGAAGTACACTTTTGCCAAGTTTGGAAATGTCATGGCCAAGTATTTCCAGGCCTTTGAGGTACTTCAACCTCCCACCGTGTTGTTTTTCTTCCATCAATTAACAACTGTTACTGTAAAACCTTCTTGCTTTGTGTTTCCCAGGACGAGCGATGTACCGTTCCTCTCATACAGCTGGCCTCATTTATGCCCCCGGCTGCAGTTCCAACGTTCAGGTAAGCTGCAGCCGCATCTCCTCGTCCTCTCGTTTCACTGTTGTTGTTTTCGCTGTCTTAAGCCGGTCTCTCTCATCCCGCTCTCAGCTGTGGCGTCCTGTCCAGGCTGAGGAGGATGGACTCGGGAGCAGTGCCAGCGCAGTACGGCCAGCTGTTAGACTGCATGTGCAGCTGGGGCCAGGCCGCTGACATCCTGGAGCTCGTCACCGACTGGCTCACCGAGGCTCTGCCCAAGCAAGGGGTCAGTCAGCGAGACACCGAAGGGCCTGAATTATCGTGTTGGGCTTCTCCGTGAGCATCCCTCGTCGCTCTTTATAAAAGTCTTCTTCCTTTTTAACTTCAGGACAACACCAAACGGAAGGTGCGTGTCCAGGTGACGGTGGAGGCCAAACCAGACCTGGCCCTGGCTTACCTGGAGTACCTGTTCAGCCACACGCTCACACGGGAGGGAGTCCTGGCTCTTGGTCCTCGACCTCTGAAGCAGCTCCATACAGTTCTAGGAAGCTGGAGGGTATGTTGGATGTTATTCATCAGTGTTGGATGTTTAAACAGACCCGAGTGTGTTCCCCTGCTCAAATACATTCATCTTCAGCATTTATACCGAGAGTATATAAATGTATTTTCAATATCTGTCCCAACAGTCAGTGCTGAACACTCACCTCAGCTCCGCCACTGAAGATCCCAAAAGTCCCGGTGTGGAGACGGCGCTGAAGGTCTTCATGCATCACGGACGTCTCGGCGCACATCTGCAACACAGCGTGAGTTCCTACGTTTTGCACCCATTACTTCTCATCCCGTTTGATCACTTTTAAAAAGATGAAGCCCTTTTGTTTCTGTCCCAGTCCTCAGAGGGTCGAGACTACCTGCTCTCTCTGGAGCACGTGGCAGCGTGGGTAGCTGAGAGGGTGTTGCCCCTCCTGGCTAAACGTACCAGCGATGATGATGATGAGGAGGAGAAGGAGGAGAAGTTGCAGCCACTTGCTGCAAAGATAACTGAGGTGAGCTCTATTGTTACTAATGTAAACATTAAGCCGACTTCCATGTTTTCAGTACAGGACTGTAGACTGTAGACTGTAGACTGGGAAACGTCCACTAAAAGGATTAATTGAGCCGGAACAAACGCATGTCGGGCAGATACTACATTGAGCTTTGCCCGACTGTAATTAGTGAAGCCGGAATGACTTGCTGAATATGCGGGTCTGCATTAAGCACCGGCATTTAATTTGGGCAAATGGGGGGAAAATGTGTGTGTGTGTGTGTGTGATCTCCATTAAGAGAGCTGAGACGCACTTCTCCAGTGTGATTTTAGTGAGTACATTTTCATAATAGAATATTACAGCTGCACATAGAAATGTGTTGAAGTGAATAATAGTTTGGTCATTATATCTTTCACCACAAAATGTGGCAACCTCAAATAGAAACCCAAGAGCTCTCAGTATAAGACAATCGTAATATATTTGTGATACTTGTTAATAGCCTTTTTACCGCGGCTGTTGGCGGCACAGTTGTGTCGTTATCCAAAACATTGAGTTCTCTTTGCCTCCTGCTTCCAGGACTCTCGGTTCAGCTCGGTACATTTAGACTCCTCATCACACGCTCGTGTGCATGCCGGCTCGAGCTCGTACCGCCGCACTGAAACGGGCTTATTTTCTTTTATTTGTGACATTATTCTCTCTCGCCTGTCACCACATGACTGCTGCTGAACAGAAACCTGTTTCAGTGCCCGTCTCACTAACGCTGTAGGCACCTCCTGCAGGCCACCAGCTAGCCGTAGAAACCAACGTTTTACTGAAACGTAGCCCCACAATAACTCGGCCTCCTCTCCATTCATCATGATAATGATGATGATGCATTTCACCAGAGTTTCCTGTCGGTGTGCCGAGACGTTCTACTTGTGGGTTTGGCCGATGAGACGTTCAAGGGTCAAATCCTCCACTTGTGCTCGCTCACCCTCCTCTCAGGTGAGTGTTTCAAATGTCTTTTACAGTGAAACATACAGCGAGGGTGCTAGAACACGGTTAACAGTCCTGCAGCATCACGCTTCTTTACAGACGATGTATTCTCCCTCGTGTGTCCAGAGGCAGGCTACCTGTGTATTCCTGCGGTGCTGCTGATTTTGAAGGAGGTGGCAGACGGCTACGCACCCGAGGACATCAACCACCACCCGGCTCAGGAGCAGGAGGAAGACGCAGCCACTGTTGTTCTGGGTGTGGTGGCCAACATCTTCCAGAAGATTGTAGAGCTCCTGGCTCGCCGTCTTAGGAAGGAACCAGAGGAGGGAAAACGGGTACGCGGACTCCAAGTGTGTTGATTTATTTATTCTGTCACTACCTTATGTTGTACATAAACTACACTTGTTTATTTCTTACTTCACACCAGCTGTTTTCGCTCTAGTTGTCAATACATCAGATGTTTTTTTATTTATTTTTTATAACAGGCTGTCAAACTGTCTTGAGTTGCTCTCAGTATTCCAGCACCGTACAGCTTTCTCCTTTAGACTTTTTCCCCATTCTTGTATTTCTTGTGTTAAGAATATCTCCCTCTTTGTGCTCTAGCTGTGTCAGTCAGCCGTTCCCAGCCTGGCGGACTTCCTCCAGGCGGCACAGGCCTGGGACAAAGCTCCTCTCTGCGGGGTCTTCTCCACTCTCTTCGCCGTCATCGTCGTGGAGAAGAGACATTTGCTTCAGAAGGTTCGACCGACCTGCCGGAGCGTTTGTCTTTTACCAATATACATCGCACACGTCCTGGGCGACCTGAACGATGACGTTCTCCAGCAAATCCCTCAAGGCAATGATGAATGCGGCTGTGCTCTTTTTTTTTTTTATTTATTTATTTATTTATTTATTTTAGATTACCCATCCTGAAGAGGTGATCACCCCAGAGTCAGTGGAGGACATGCCTCCTCTGTCCAGCGTCCTGCTGTCTGTCATCCTCAAATCGTCCTCTCTTACCAGGTGAACATCCTCCGTCCACTTTCTCTTACTCACACTGTGAGTGAACTGAATGTTATACATATAGCTTTGTTTTGTTTTTGAACGTGTCCTTTAGGGCATTTCTGACAGAAGTGAGCTCGTCCTGCGACTCTGAGGCCATCGGCAGTCTGAATGAGATGGCCGCCGTCCTGCACGTCTTGGCGGTCATAAGCCACAGTGAGTTTACGTGACATGAATTTAGATTTGAGTCATTAAAAAGAGCAGATCAGACATAATGTTTTGCTCGTAAAGATAAATCACAGTTTGTTATATGTGACACTTTTAGCGGGGCAGTCTAAAGCGGGTTTGAAGAGCGCCGCCACATCTGTCCAGCGGCAGATTCACAAACACGCAGTCGCATCTGAAGACGCCAGAGACATCCAGAGGTTAGAGGGGAGGGACACGAGACACTTGTGATGTGTTCTTTAGATAAATAAAGTTATTGATCTTTGGTGTATGTGATGACTAACCTTCCCCTCCTCCCACAGGCTTATTTATGAATCTTCTGTGAAGACCTTGAATGAAATTCTGGATTTATGAGTCGACCTGTAATATCTGCTTCACTTTTGTGTTTTATGAAGCTGAGGAGAGCAGTATAATGTCTGCTGTGCTGTTTGTACAGACTTTCAGTTGCTGGCAGACGAGAATGACAAACAATTAAATATTTCAACTCCAGTGACCGAGCTTTTTAAAATCAATATGGTTTGGATTGAAATCTGAAGCTGGGGACGAGTGACTGTCTGTTCGCATGTTTTCCCAGATTGGCTCCACTTCTCTTTGTTTATTTATTTCTTGATGGCACACACTGCTCAAGTCTCGTCTCTCAGGCTTTGTGCATTGAAAATACACTTTCTTAGAATGAGTGGTATTCTTCTTAGAAGAATAGTTATTCTTCTTTTTTAACAATTTCATATAAAATACATATATTTTTTCATGTCTCACTATCTATGGTCATGTATCTGTTGGTCTGTCACCTGTAGAATAAAACGATCCGCATCAATCAACCTGAACTTGATGGTTATTTCTTTCTCAGGCTGCACAGCGGTTTGCTGAGTAATAACAAACAAGCAATGAATCGTCTTCTCTCCTCTCTTTATTCTTAAAGAGGAGCGGCTCCTACTCGGAACTCACATGCTGTTTTACTTTAGTCAATATGTGATGTCACTGTTCTGCAGAACGTAAATAACATTTTGATTATTCATTCCTCTTTGAAATAAGTGTGTTGGATTGATTGCAAGTCTCATTTTTAAGAGGCTACATTTACTACAGTTGATCATGTAATCTACTGTGGTGGAAAGTAACTAAGTACATATACTCAAGTGTGGTACTAAAGAGCATTTTTGAGGTACTTGTACTTGATTAATTTCAGAGGCAAATGTACTTTTACTCCACTGCATTAATCTGTTGGCTATTGTTATACTTGCAGATTAAGATTTTACACACAAAACATAACATCAGTTTATAGAATATGTTGCACTGTCACAGATTGAGCTACACAGCAGTATACATAAAGTAAACATAAACTGCTCAACAAGTACTTCTAATTTATATACTTTTAAGTAAAATCAGCTAAATCATGTACTTTTATTCAAGTAAGACTTTGAATACAGAACTTACAAGCAATGAAATATATCTTCATTGTAGTATTGATGTATTAAAGTAAATGATCAGAATACTCCGGTAACATGTTGCGCAAGGAAATGTCTTGGATGCACTTGTACTCTAACATCGCTAGAACAGGGTTTAAAGGGACTATTATAGTTATGTTGACTCATGAGTGGTACTTTGTAGTTTATGTATTTTTATTCCTAATAGTATATCACTGAGAGATGGATATAGATACATGGATGAATATGTGTGTATTTATATTTGTTTGTGGAATCTTTTTATGTTTGTCAAGTTAATAAGATGAGCCAATTAATCCAAACAAATGTTTTGTATATTTGTATATATGTCAAGTATTGGTAGTATGTCAAGGTATTGGTTTGTTTACTCTAAAAATCACTATAATAATAAATCACCCCCCCCAAAAAAAGACTATAATAACATGTAGTTTTATGTATTTTTGGCGTTTTCGCTGTAAAATGTCCTAAAATCAAAATCTGCAATGGTACATTTATTTTTCTCAGCCAAGCTAATACGATGTAACCTTCCTTATGTTTTTTTGTGTCGGTTTTCTTGTGTTGCTGCTCTCCGGCGGTGATCATCCAGTAAACATCCATCCATCCCTCTTTCATCCATGCGTCCAGGGCGCTGTTTCGAGCTGCGCGCATCATCCCTCCTCACCATGTGTGTGTGTTTGACGTCAGAAACTTAGGAGGGGCTCCTCCGTGAAGCTGGTTGCCGTTTGTGGTGCTGAAACAACGCCTGTGTTGTGTTGCCATTTAGCGGTATTTCATTTTATTCCCCCCCCCCTCCCCCCCTCCCCCGTTTCTCCTCAAACATGCCTCTCTAGACCGAGTGTCGTCCGAGCAGCTCACCCCTGAGTCGGCGTTAGTCATGGTGTGTTAGCGGAGGTGTGCGATGGATTAGTCGTTCTGTATTTAGGCAGCAGCGGCATGGATTCACCGTGGTGTCCCATCCTCTTCGCTGCATTGGCTGTCAGCCTCTGCTCCTCACCTGCACTCGCTGACAGAAAATTTGGTAAGCAATTGTGTTTAATTTTGTCCCGTTATTATTATTATTATAAACCAATAACCCTATTCTAGGCCAAGTGTTGTATAAACTGCCCGGGGTGCTAAATCCACCTGAGTGGCTCGGTTTAGCTGGGTCGTTTAAACACACATTGCAAAAGTTGTTTTGTATTGTAGTTTATTGTTGTGTTATCATTTGCACACCGCCCTTTTCCTGCTATTTCCTAAACTTGTGTTTGTGCTTTGGTGTGGCTGTTTGGATGAGATCTGAAGATCCAACTGGAAAAAGTTACATAATCTATCAAGGCCCAATGCATGAAATGTTTACTGTGAGACTTATGTAATGAACCACGGTATTTATCTTAACTGCTAGTTTCATCAAAACACTTAACACTGCAAGAAAAACGACAACTTTTGCAGCCAATAACGAGTTTTGCCTGCAGATTGATACGCTATAACTACAATAATGCATGTTAGATATGGGTTTAATGGCTTTTATACCCATAGAAATGACTCTACACATGCCCTTATTAAGGAACATGCAATTTTAAATCCACTTCTATATTTAATGATATCCTATGCCTCCTCAAGAAAGAGGCATCTTTCATGCAGCCCTGTTCCATTTGCAGGGCCGGTTGTGTTGTCATTACCATTGATTTGTTCTTGCCTCAGTCACTACACTGTTATTTGAAAAAGTATGGCGCATGTCCAAAGTATGGCATATTAGAGAAGCCACTGGGATAATTGTGTCCTTTGGTTAGACAGAAAGTGATTAGAGGCCCTCATTTTACTGTTTCAGGTGTGTGTGTGTGTGTTACCACTTCCAATTTACACCTGTAATCACACTTACTGGTACAGGATCTGCAGTCAGAACACATGACAGTATAAACTTTATAATGAGAGCCAAATATAGGTCTCAGGTTGGCACTCCTGCTCTGTGATGATTCATACAGGCACCGAGCTGCAGCATATTCTTTATATTTAGAAGCAGAGCGTGTCTATCCACTGTTAATTATTTATTCTTTATATTCATCCGTATAATCTTATTGGCTATAAAGCCAGCTAACATAATATAGAAAGGACAAAACTTGTGATTTGACACATGGGTTTTTTTCTCTGATAAATTGGTTAATTTATGCGTACAATACTTGTGAATGAGTCAGTGTTTATTCCCAGAGTGCATTTCTCTCATTGAATTCTCAGCATGTTTTTCCTCTGTGTGCCGAAGAGGTCTCCATTGTCGGCGTGTGACTGGGAGTTAGAGGTGGTTATTGTTTATAATGAGTCCCACTGCGGATTACGCTGTGTCATTGGAAAGCTTGGGATCAAGATGTGCTGCTGTCATGTATATCTGTTATCTATATATCTAATAACAGTGCATATATATATACATGCATGGGTGTGTTTGTGTGGTGGAGAGACAGCGACAGCGAGCTGTGTGTGGGTGTTTATGTCCTGCCTGTCTGAGAGCACATGAAAGTCAGACTGGGGAGAAATAAGTCTGCAGCTGCACGCTCTGATTGGGAAATTATTGAGCTGCAAAACAAATGTAATCGGTGGTGTGAATTTGTCCCCTGTGCATGAGACTAAAAACATGGAAACTTTTCAATTTCATAGCGCCTGAAAATGAGTGTCATCTCTTTAGCCTTTTTGAAATATTTAATGCACTTCAACAATCGCCCACACTTATTAAGAGTTCACGGAATTTGACTTTTTAATGCACAAGCTCTTGTGTAAGTGGTAATGTGCAACAAAAATAAAGATGATATTGGGAATATTGGGTTTAACCACATATTTGGTCAAATTGAGTCACAGTAAGAATGAATCTCATCGGTTTTACCATACTAAATAAACAATTTTCTTGTCAAAACAGTATCCAGAATCGTCACAGAGAGATCATGGAGATGTATCTAGTTTAGCAGGGGAGATAGCCACGGCTAGCCTTTGCTAAAGCTAAAAGTTTACCAACTGAGTTTTCTAAATGATCTATTTTGATCAGCTAACATCTTGGTAATCCAGTGTATTATTCCACATAGTTACATGAGATGGTAGTTAAATCCAATCATGATGGAGATAAAAACCTTTTCTGTGCTTTCATGCTGGGGTGACTCAACAACCAGCCTTGAGACCAGTGCCTTGAAGCCAGGCATAATTCAAAAGCATGCTTGAGAATTAGCCAAAGGGTGGTATTGCTACCAGTGGGAGGTGTTTGACAAATCTAACAACACTGTAACATGTTAATTATGTCATAAAATACATCCTGGAAGGCTGTGTGAAGTTTTTCTTCTGATGAAAGAGGGGAAAAAGAATGGCATTAAATCGAGGATTGGAATCTATTCCACTAAGCTTTATTTCAAGAGTGCATTAAGGTTAATACACTGTTTACACTAAAATAGGAAGAATATCATTTGAATAATTAATTGACTACCGGAGAGCACTCTACCAATGGAAAATAACAACCACTGAAAACCCTGTAGTTACTGACATGTTTTGCTAGCAAGAGAAATACTTCCAGCAAGTTTGTTGAACAGCTAAAATACAGAAATATCAATCGTAATAAACCACAAGTTATTAAGTTTTGAATAGCTTTTCGGGATTTAATGAAATGAAGATGTCAATCCAACTCCCACCAGAGTGTCGGCCCTATTCTAATAGTGCATTCACAAATTTAGCAAGAACAGGGCGTTCAGACTCGTATAAAAATACTTAATCGCACCATATTGATCGTGCTGATTACTAAAAGCCTCGTGTAGCATTTGCAACAGACTCAAAGGATTCTCTCAGCTCACCTAAACCCCGCTCTAGAAATGACTGAAAGGAAAGAGTGCTATGTGTGTATTGATGGATAAAGATATGTGACGGCTTCGCTTATCTCCAATATGTGCACGGAGACGTTGTCCTTTAAGGCTGTGCTGCAGGGTCTTTTTGTTATGGCTGGCTATCAGCAGCCATCTTCTAATATACCCAGACAAGTTATATTTGATTCACAGTCTGCTGGGCTTTATCTATTTTGCCACGGGCCTCTGTCTTCCCATAGATATCAGGACTGAGTGGTGATACCGCCTATCTTATAGTGGTTATAAATCATCTGAGAGGATTGAAATGTGCTCTGACATGAGGATGGGTGTTTTACAACTGTGTGGATTATGATGGTGGTGTATATTCAAGGGAGTTTAGACATCTTGCTTCACTGGAGGTGCTTTGTTTTCATCATATGATTTGTGTGGTTTGTGTTGTCGTATTATTTCCTGAGTTGCTAGGACGCTCCCTGTCTGTCCCAGGAGAGCAGTCATTTCTATGTGGTTCATCCTGGGAGCGAGCTTACTATAGTTTACATAAGACAACATTGAGGCTGAGAAGTGTTTATGTGAAAGGAGGGAAATAGAAGAAATATAAGCGTATTTATATCAAATCATTAATCGGTCTCACATTTAGTTGGTTGATCTGTGCCAGAATAGGATTGGAAACAACTATTTACAGCCATTCTAGCGGCTGTAAATAGTAAACAGTGTTTTGAGCTAAATGCTATATTTGGCATGCTAGTATGCTCACAGTGACGTTGTTAAAATGCGGATCTTTAGCTTCAAAATAATCTCATTCATCCCGAGGGGGACATGAATGTGTGTACCGACTTTCATGGCAATTCATTAAATATTGACATTTTATTTTTTTAAAACCCCGCAAATGTCAACCTCATTGTGGCGCTAGCAGAAAAGTCAGGCAATCGCCAAAGTCTGTAGGATTCATCCTCTGGGGACCACGATTCTCTGTACAAGATTTCATGGCAATCCATCCAATAGCTGTTTAGATATAAGATTCTGGACCAAAACAGCCCAACTCTGCCATCCGTTGAGCTCTAGCAAGGACAAATCCTTCAAATTCAACTATGTAAACTCACAACCAGACCACATATCCACATATCAACAAGCTCTGAAAAGCTTCTGATTAATAAAAACTCTCATTTCTTAAACAACTTGAAGGCTGTCTTCAACCCTAATCATAGTTAAAGTAAAAACCGATACAAGGATACAAAACTAATAGGATTGCCAAAACAAATAAAACCCCGCCGTGGTGTCTCAGCAAAGGTCGCAGTGCATTTCTCTTATCTTTTCGGACGTCCGTCATGTTGACTGAACTGGTGAAGGGTCAGCTACAGTATAGTGTCGGCCTTCAGTTCAGACTGTGTTGACACTTTGGATGTGGTGCTTTTCTATATTTCGCTAGAAGGCTTTGACTCATCCATTAAACGGCAAACTACTTATTGGTTGAGATTTTATGGTGCAACACGGCCCTTCTTTGTGCACATGGCTGCGCAGGATGAGATAAATGGGCATTTGCTGTGTTGTTTGCAAAGCCTGTTTTTCCTAAATTAATAATCTCAACAGCTGCAGGATTCGATGCGAGTGTAATTGGTCTAACGTCAAGATTGTCCGCTATCATCTGTCGTTGAATGTGATATATGCCTATCGATTCTAACTGATAAACAGAGCACAGTGTTAAGCAACCTCTTCTCAGCTGCACTGAACCAACACACAGCTGCTGCGGCCTTGTAGACTGATAAGCTATTCATGAAGTGTTGCTGTGTTTCAAAATGCACGGGGAATATACTGTATATATACGATTCTTTAGTTAATTTCAAAGTTGCAGCCTTTTTAAAGAGTAAGCACCGACTTTCCGACACAAAGCAGGCTGTGTATTCCTGGCTTGGGATGCTGCCACGGCTGGTGTGATAACAGACGAAGTGCGATGTTTCTCTGTGACTCAACAGATGCTCGGAGGAGTGTGTTGGCTTCGAGTGGTTATTGAGACGAGGGAGTGGGAAGCAAAGCGGCTGGCTGCGCTTCTGTGTCTTTCCCCCGACAAATGTCAGCGGCTCTTGAGAGGAAGGAAGTCAGAACTGTGTCAGATAGACGCGTCGAGGAGATCCATCTCGTTATTCTCTTGCCTGCTTCGATTCAAGGGGAACCTGGAAGATATTCTGGGTTAAGGAGGAAGAGTGCCACCAGAGAG